CCCGTGTCCCCCACACCCCCGTCCCGTCCCCCCCGTCCCGGGCCCTCCCCGGGGGAGGCGCTCGGGGCCCGCGCCCGCCATGTTTCCCGGCAGCGCTCCGTGCCCGCCGCCCGCCTGAGCCTCCCGGGGCCGGCCCGGCGCGGGGCCGGGGCCGCCCGCGCTCCTCCTCGGCCGCCGGTGAGTGGGGCCGGCCCGGCGGGGCCCGCCCGGGGCTCCCGCTCCGCGCAGGCCGCGGAGCCGCGGCCTCGAGTGGCGCCGCGGGCCGGGCCGGGCCGGGCCGCGCCGGGCCGGGCGGGGGGGCCGAGCCGGGGCCCAGCGGAGCGGGGCCGGCGGGGGGAAGGGGGGGGGTCGTCAAGGCTGGGCGGGGGGTCCCGGCCGCGCCGTGCGGTCCTGGCCGGGCCCGCAGAGGTGGTGGGGGGGATTCAGCGGCCGCCGGGGGTTCGGCCGCGCCGTCCTGCCCTGCCCGGCTGGGCCGAGCGGCGCTCGGGGAGCGCTGAGCGCTGGGCCCTGCTCTCTCCGCAGGGACGAGCGATCGCCAGCGGCTCCTCCTGAAAGGTTTGTCCGTGTGGCAGCCCGGGGACCCCCCCGAGGGATCCGCCCGGGACCCCTAAAGATCCGCCCGGGACTCCCCGAGGGATCCGCCCGGGACCCCTAAAGATCCACCCCGGGACCCCCCCAGGATCCACCCCGGGACCCCCCGAGGATCCGCCCGGGCTGCCCGAGGAGAGGCCGGTTGGGGATCCCGGTGCGGGGATGGGAGCGCCGCTCTGAGCACGGCGAGGGATCCCCCGGGAGCGCAGCGGAGACCCCCCCGTCCCCCAGCTGAGCCCGGTCCGGGTCCATCCCACGGGAGCGCTCCTGGCAGGGTAATGATTTCGCGTTCCTCTTGTTTGTTCCCCTCCGAGTAAAGGGAGCGAGTTTCGCAGGAGCGGGGAAGGAAGTGGCTGGGAGGGTGGCGGGGACTTTGTGAGCCCCACAAAGGCAGCGCTGCTGGTGGGGGGCTCACGGGGCCAGCGCTTTGTGCCCGAGCTGGTCCTGCTCACATCCTTCCCCCCACCCCGTCCTGTGTCACAGCTGGACCGGCCACAGCCACGCTGTCCACACAGGCGTTGGGATGGAGCGTGGTTTTTGTTTGCTCCTCATGGTTCTCATTTGGAGCCCTGCGGTGGGTTTGGCCCTGTAAATGCTACGCCGTGTGTGGCTGGAAGGGGCGAGTTCCTGGGGTTGTGTGCGATCCAGAGGGGAATTATTATTAAATTTAAAATTAGGTTTCACTGTGTCAGCTGTTCCTTGGGAAGGTGTTCCTGAATCACGTCTCACTGCTGGAAAGAAACCCTCATCCCTATTTCCAGCCCAACCACGCTCACGTTCCCCTTACCCACGTATGTCAGTGGGTTCTTTTTGCATCGCTTGCGTCATCTTCCCGAGAATTAAAAAACTGAGACAGGCTCGAAATGAAACCCAAAATGTGACTGACTGGGAGCTTGAGGGGCAGCTCCGTGTGGGTGCTCCCAGCAGTGCTGTGGTGGCACTTCTTGTGCTGATGGAGAGGGGATTGTTCAGGTCTGATGTGCTTGTCTGTCCCCAGGAATTTCGGGAGCCTCGTGGTGCAGGAGGGAGAACGGGGAGCCAGTTCCTGCTGGGCTTTCCAGGCTGGCTCTGGGCAGCTCCTGGCAGCTCTGGGTGGCCCAGGGCCCCAGGGACAGGGGTTTTTGGGAGCCCCCAGTGCCCTGTGCTGGAGGGCCTGGGGTTGTGTTGCGGGGCACGTGCAGGAACTGGGCTCTCTCTCGGGATCCTTTGTGCTCCTTCCTGAGCAGCTGCAGCGAACAATGGCCCTCACAGCTGTCCCGGTTTTATTCCTGCTTGCAGCTTGGAGGGGCGAGGATGGCTCAGGAGACGAACCAGACCCAGGTGCCCCTGCTGTGCACCACGGGCTGCGGGTTCTACGGCAGCCCCCGCACCAACGGCATGTGCTCCGTGTGCTACAAGGAGTTCCTGCAGAGGCAGCAGAGCAGTGACCGGATAAGCCCCCCAGGTAGAGGGTTTTTCCTGAGAAATCTGCCTCAAAATGGGGGTTTGGATGCAAACTCCATTCAGCAAGTGGTGCTGACTGCCAGCAGATTCCTGAGAAACCACGTCTGTCCCTTTCCATGGAGACCCAAGGCTCTAAATCAAGGGCCCTTGAGCACTTGTGTTCCCTGTAAGAGGGGCAGTTGTTTCCTTCCCAGTCCCACCAGTTTGTGAAGCCCTGTCCCAGTCAGCACCTCCTAGTAAACTGTAAAACTTCACCTGTGCTAATGGTGATCCCAGTTTTTAGCTGTTTCCCTGTTCCCTGAGTTATGTGTTGGCTGCTGGGAACCCCACAGATCCCCACAATGACATTTAATTTGGGAAGAGCTGGGCCTACTTGGTTTGTATAGTTTTCTTACCTGAACAGCGTTGACAACCAAAATCCATGTGCTAAAAAGTTTGTTTCCTGGTACATGCCAGAGCTGGGAGCAGAAGGGAGATGTGATCACAATGTGATCAGGGTTGGGGGTTTTATTACTGGGAGTTTGTGCAGATGCCCCATGTACAGTAAGAAATCCCTTCCAGAGCTCTTCCACAGCTTGTTCCTGAGTGGGATCACGGCTTTCTTTGAGTTACCCACCCAAAATATGCATCAGGAACACGGCCTTTCCCAGCAGGGAGTTTTATGAGACCCCCAACTTAGCCCCTCAGCTGGCACAAACCAACCTGTGTCTGCTGAAGCTGGGAGAGGATCTGGTTCTTCCACCTCAGAGAAGCTGCAGAGTGGTGTTGGTTCAAGATCCAGACAGCCCTGATGTGTTACCCCCCCACCCTGAGATCTGTGCACAAATTCGGAGGGGAGGGTGTAGGAATGGAGATATGGGAATGATCCCAACTGGGGTGTGCTCTCCCAGCTCCAGCAGGGATCAGGAGCTTAAGGAATGCTGAGCACTCCTCCTGCTTCCTCCTCGGCTGTCGAGCACACGAGGAACTCGCTGGCGTTTTTCAAAGGCTTTACCAACACTGGTCTTGTCTTGCAGCTCCCAGTGGTGCCAGCAGCAGCCCCATGGCTTCTGAAGCAGTTGCAGAAGGAGACTCCACACCTGAGGATGCAAAAGCCAGGTAGGGGCACAGCCCTGCTAAAATCCAGCTCTGGCCCATGGGGTAAATGGACTGGATCAAACTCCTCCCTGGGACCCTGGTTTGTCTGGAAGATGGAGATGTCCCTGATGAAGATGATGATGATAATGTGTAGAGTGAGGTGCCAGGGGGTTGGTGGTGACTCAAGTGGTGTCTTGGTTCTCTTGGAGCCAGTGCACTGCTCTGTCACTGGCTGTGTTCAGCTGCTGTGTCTCTGCTCAGTCCTCAGTGGTGGGATTTCTGGGGTTGTCCTGTGCAGAACCAGGAGCTGAACTTGGTGATGAACTTGGTCCCTTCCAACTCGGGGTATTCCGGGATTTCAAGTGAAAGCACCTGGAGGTGACCCAGTCTGGGAGCTGTGGCAGCAGGATTAGAGATCTCGGGCACGTTTGATGGGAAGGTTGTTAGAGCTGCACTGAGCTTTGTCACATTACAGTCCTGACTCATAACTCTATTGCCCTGTCCCTGGACTTGTTTGGAGCTATAGCCTTGGCTGGGAGATATAGTTGGGTAGAAAAGGAAACTGAAATCGTCACGGGTTCATTCCAGGTGTGCCTGGAAAGAACTTTGATCCCAGATCTCCAGGGGAATCCCAAATCTCACGTCTGCTGTACTCCTGACCTACTTCTGAGTATAAGGAAATTAACTTTACGGGCTGGAGGTCTCTCCCACATAACAACTGTTCATCAAAGGAAAAAAAACCCTTGTGTTTGCTCTTTGTTTGTTTGTTTGTTTGTTTGCTGCAAACGCTCCCAGTGCTCAGACTCCTGTGACCCATCAGATGACGGCCATGAGCATATCCAGAGAGGAAACCAGCACTGAGCCAGAGGAGTTCAGTAAGACAGAAGAAGCCTCATCAGCATCTTCCTCGTCAGGTTGGTTTGACCTTTGCACGAGCGTGAGCGACACGAATCCCAAGAGCTGCTTTCAGCAGCCCTGGCCACTGACCCCGAGGGACAGGCAGGGAACACACACCTGGAGAGAGAGGAAACAGCTCCTCTGTGAGACAGGCAGGAGAGCAAATGCTGTGCCCCAGGGCAGGCTGATAGAGGTGGCTCTGTGGGCTGAGGGCTGAGGAGCTGCCAGCCCCGGCGTCGCTGGCAGGAGGATAATCTTCCATGACGCCTCTCCCGGGGAATGGCAGCGAGCCCGGAGCGGCCCACGGCCTGTCGCTGGCAGCACTCCCCTGCCAGGAGGAGGGAGGGAGGGACAGGGATCCACCAGAGTTATGGGAGACAGGAGATGTGTTTGTGGCAGTGCCCAGGGGCACTGGGGCCTGGCTGGTGTCACCCCTGTGATGGGGTACCTGTCCCTCGAGGGGGTGTTTCCCTCCTGAAGGGATTGGGCAGCACAGGGGGCACTGCCCAGCAGGCACATCCTCCGGCTGATGCCATAACCAGGTGATTCTGCAGAGACACCCTCCTTTGGTTCAGCTGACAGCTTGCATTGAAAGCTAAAAAAATCCCAGGAGCTGTTAGTTGCTAAAAAAACTGGCTCTAGTCACTGCACATGACTGTGCATTTTGGGTTTGGTAATCCCTGGCCTGCAAGCCCAGGAGACAGTTTACAACAGCGAGGTGAGAGACTGTGTGGTGAAACAGGCTTGGGAGAGCCTGCCCCTTTCTTCTGACTCTGTGGTTTTTGGGAAGCTGTTTGGGGTCAGCTCCACAAAGCTGCCTCTGACTGTTTTGTCTCCTCAGAGCAGCCTGCACTGCAGGTGTATATCTGTTTGCAGCCACAGCTCCTCCCTCCTGTTGACTTCTCTAACCTGCTTAGGTACTGGAGGAAATCCTGCTAAGCATCAGTGACCTTTAACAATCTGGCTTTCAGAGCTCAGTTTTCCCTTTGGTAATTAGAGGCAGTGATGGATATCTGTGTAAAGCATTCTGAGACCTACATATGGGGAACACTTACATAAGAGCCAGCAAAAATAATTAGTTGTACTTACAAGGGGTTAACCATTTTTCTTTTTTTTCCCCCTGCAAAGATTAACTGTGGGCTGAGCTGACAGTTGTGTTGCTGTACAGCAGCTGAGCTGCAGTGACTATCCAGTCACTGTCCAGTGGCCGCTCCAGCCTTGGATGTGAGGCATTTGACACAGAGAGAAAACTGTGAGGCTGTGTGAGGCGTGAGATCTCCGTGGAACGAGGCAGATCCCGCAGCTTGGGGTCTGTCAGCCAGGGCAGTGCGCACACAGAGGGGCTGGCAGAGACCCAGAATTCACTTAGAGCCTCGAGCACCTCCTGCAGTCAAAGAGATGCTTGCTTTTATCAAGAAAGGGCAAGCAAAACTCTTGCCTGTGTTTCAGGTACCCTGCTTGAGATCCCCCAGGACACAGCTGAGGGCAAGGCCGCTGCGGAGAAGCCGAAACCCAAGAAGAATCGCTGCTTCACCTGCCGGAAGAAGATCGGCCTGACTGGTGAGTGCCTGGGCAAACCTGGCTGTGCCCTCAGCAGCGTGGTGTGAGAGCCCTGGGGGCAGCTCTGGCTGTGCTCTGGTGGCTCAGAGGGGCAGTGGATGGGGGTTCCCCACAAAGCCACCCCCAAGCCGAGGCGCTGCTGGGGAGCTGGGAGGGGAGCTCTGACCTGCTGAGGGAGCAGCCTGGGGAACATCCCACTCCCTGCCGGGGTCCTGGCAGCCTTGGGATGCAGGCTGGCACAACTGGATGCAGCAGCACCTCTCGGGCTGGTCCTGCTGCCTGGCAAAAGCCGCTGTGGAGCGGAGGCAGAGTCGGCTCCTGTCGAGGTCTGCGGTAAAGCTTTCGTAGCAGTGGCACGGAATGAGCTGGACCCAAATGGAAAATCCCTCTCCAAGACTCATCCCATTTGTTAATGCTGCTTGATTTCCACTGTTAGCTTCCTGAGGGCAGGATGGCTCTCGGCATCCAGCCCGTAAAGCTGGAGGGAGCGGTGCAGGGATGGGTGTCACTGCTGTCGGTGGGAAAACTGCCCCTGGAAAGTGAAGCAATTAATTTGGCTGGGGTTTTGTTAATAAAAACATCATTCCCCTGAATTATCTCTGGCATTTAGTGCTTCCCTGGGAAAAGTGAACTCAGGAGCCGTGCAGGTCACGCTGTCCTAGTGGAGCACTCGCCTCTGTGGCTTCCGTAGCTCATCCAGCAGCCAGGGAATGGCTGTTTGCATGGATTTAAGAGGCTTTGGCAAAGTCTGGACTGGGAAGTTTGAACCTGAGCTTGCCTGGAGATCTGAGGGTGCTGTCCTGGAATTAGTGTGGGTTTGTAAACCTGGAGCTGGGCAGGGTAGTTTGGTGTCCAGCCTTTGGATCTGCAGGGAGGATGGTTTTCCTGGATGAGTGTTTCCTTAAGAACTTCAAGCTGTGAGAAGTTTCCTCGTTTAGGATTCAGCTTGCAGAGAAGTCCTGTGTATTCAGGGCATTTTTTAGGATGAGTTTTCTCAAACAGGAGTAAATGGGCACCTCGGAGTAAGGTGTTCTGTGGGCTGTGGTTGGGAAGATGAGAAGGGACAGAGCAGGATTCCCTGCTGTCCTGCAGCACATCCCTGCTCCCTGCCCGAGTCTCCCGGAGTGCTGTGTTGATGGAAGCTCTCTGAGCAGCATTGTCCCCGAGTGAAGTGACTGAATGGGGGATTCTGATCCCAGTGTGGTGCCAGCCCTGCTGCTCACTGCTGGCCAGCCCAGATGCTGCTGTGTGACCCTGGGGAGCTGGGCTGGCTCCGAGGGCTCAGCTCCAGCTCGGGCTGCCCGGGGAGCCTGGCCTGGATTAGCAATCTGGCACTGCAGTGCCTGGCATGTCCCTTGTCCCCGGGGAACACAGAGAGCAGCTGCTCGGGGAGCTGTGACAGCTGGGGCTGCCCAGAGCACGAGGAGCTGCTGAGCCAGGGGAAGGCAAAGAGCCACCCGTGTCCTTCCCCCACGCCTGGGGGGGGACAGTGACCCCCTCCCTGCTCTGTGTGTGCCTTGGTGGTGTTTCCTGGCCTGGCAGGAAGGAGCTGGGGGGGCCCTGCCGCCTTCCTGCCCGGCTGGACGGGGCCTGATGCGGCTTTGTTTGTGCTCTTCCTGCCCTCAGGCTTCGACTGCCGCTGCGGGAACCTGTTCTGTGCCATCCACCGGTACTCCGACATGCACGCCTGCCCCTACGACTACAAGGCAGAGGCTGCCGAGAAGATCCGCAAGGAAAACCCCATCGTTATCGCCGAGAAGATCCAGAAGTTGTGAAGGGGGGGGGGTCTGAGCAGCTCGAACTGCAGCCAGCAGGGCGGCCCGGTGCTCCTCCCCTTCCTCCCAGCCTTCCTCCTCCTCCTCCTCCCCTCCTCCTCCCAGCCCCAGCGGTGGTGCGAGGGTGACTCCGGCAGCGCACACGGACCGGCACCGGGACACGGGGGGCTCCTCGCACCTCCTGGGCGGTCAGTCGGTGTTCCTTCTCTCCCTCCCTTCCTGTCCGACAGCCACAGCTCAGCTGACGTGTTCTCAACCAGCTTCCCAAAGGAAAAGGGGCCGTCCTGCCCCGCTGCTCCAGCGCTGAAGACCTTGGGACCCGCCTCTCTCCGGGCGCTCTGCGTGCTGTGAGCGTCTGGGCTTTCCCTTCCCGGCTGCTGCGAGTCCCGTGAGCCACCCAGGACTCGAGGCCGGAGTCCCTGAGCAGCCCCTGGACTTTGCTGCCCGTGCCCCACCTCCTGCAATCCCGGGGGCTGGGGGATCCCGGCAGCCAGGCTGCCGTCTGCTCCCGGGAGGTGCCCGGGCCCCGATGCAGCAGAGTTGTTTCCATGGTTCTGACGCCCCAGATCCCCCTCTTCACCCTGTGCTGGAGAAGCCCCGAGGGGACTGAGCAGCGGGGCTGGCACAGGGGAGTCATTTCGTGGCTCGGGGCGACGTGGGCAGGGCAGGACCTTTGGGAAGAGGCTCCGCTCGCTGCCTCGTGCCCCTCTCCACAGGGACAGCCCTGCTCCAGCCTGCCGTGCTCCAACACCCCTGGAGAACCCCAACTGCTCCCCCAGCGAGGTTTGTGTCCCCTGTCCCCTCCCTCTCCTCCCCTCCCCTCTCCTCTCCCTGCCTTCTGCCTTACACGAGTCGCTCTCATCAGGGTTGTGCACAAAGCTCAGGTCCCCACACCTCTGCTTCTGGACCTGTCCCTGCCCCCAGGTGACAGCGGGGTCCCCTCCTCCCCCCTGGGCAGCTCGGGGAGCCCACCCAGCTGCCCTCTCCCCTGCCTCCTCCTCCCTCCCTCCCTCCCTCCTGCTCCAAAAGCCGCACAGTGGGAACTGGGCACAGGGAAAGGCACGTGGAGGGGCTGCAGGGCATGGGAAAAGACCCGAGGAGGGTCCCGGGGAAGCACGGGCAGGGGCTCAGAAACGCCCATGGAGAGCCCCAGGGAGCAGGGAGAGGTGCTTGGAGAGCTCTGGGCCCACTGAGAGAGTTCCTTGGGATGGTGGAAGACTCAGGGAGGGCTCTGGGGTGCCAGGGAAGGCAGAGGGAGAGCTCTGGGGTACAGTGAACATGCTCAGAGGACTCGGGCACCCCAAAAAGCACCTGAAGGGCTCTGGAGTGCCCACACTGGCACACGTGTAGAGAGGGAGGTTTAGGGAAAGCCAAATGCCAGCTTGGCATCACCCCAGGAGGAGCCTCTGGAGGGCTCAGGGACGCAGCACGAGGCAGGGCAGCGGCTCCTGGGGCACCTCCTCACCCTGTTCCTGGAAACACCGGGAGCAGAGGAGTAGATACGGGGCTCTGGTGTCACAAGCAGAGGACCCTGGATGTGTCCCAGGGGACAGGCAGCAACTCTGCCCCGCTGCTGGCTGTGCCACCCCTGGGAGGTGTCTGCCTGGGTGCTGGAGAGCAGAGCCCTAGGGAGCAGCTGGGGGGGATCACGGCCAGTCCTTCCTTCCCAGCGCTGTTTTCCTGCCTTGCTCCTGGCAGGGATCCTTCAGCAAGGGGGGGCTCCTCCTGAGCGTTGGGTTTCCCAGTCTGATCCAGCCAGAGCAGTGTGTGCCCTGTGGCCGCTGCCACCCTACCGTGTGACCAGGAGGGTCCCAACTTCCACAGCTGATGCAAACCCAACCCCCCCAGCACAGAGAGGAGCAAGGCTGCCCCTTGCCAGCCTTTCCCTCGGGTTTTTGCTCCTGGATGGCGTGGATGTCACACCCAGAGCACGCAGGTGTTGTCCCTGGACAACCCCCCTGGGTTGGGTTTGCTGTTGAGCTCTTGGCTGGGGATGATCCATGGCTCTCAGGGGGAGCAGGAATCGCAGCCGGCCCTTGCCTTGTGTTCTCCCGAGGGCCACGAGCTCCAGGGAGGTGCAGCAGCTCCCCTGGATGCGGCGGGAAAGCCCATGGCCATCTTCCAGCTTCTCCACCACCCACCTCCTCCCTGTCATCCCCTCCCTCTCCATGAGTGTAAATACAACACAGTCTAGTTTGCTTGGATGCTGTGGGTGCTTTGTTATGGGCAGGGATGTTCCATGTGGGCCCCACTCAGGATGGCCCCGGGGTCTCCGTGCCTCAGTTTCCCTGTGGATAATCCCTAACTCCCAGCACCCAGACTCCTGGGATCTCAACCCCCCCAGCAGCTGGACTGGATGATCTTCAGAGGTCCCTTCCAACCCTGACTACTCTGTGAAGTCTGGGATCCTCCCCCACCCCAGCCCTGAGTTGCTCCAGATCCCCCCTTGGTGCCCCTGTCGTGTTCATGGGGCTGGAGTGGGAATGGGTAAGGGGGTTTGGGACAGGCCCCAAATGCCTCCCCCCCATCCCTGTGTCCGTGCAGGGGGATCTGGGCAGCCTTTGGCACCAGCACCGAGTTCAGCCAGGCTTTTGGCACTGCCTCCTGTGACTTCCTGGTAGGAAACCGTGGGAATTGTGGGCTGGGTGAGTGGATGGTGGGGTGGGTGAAGGGCTGGGGGAATGGCAGAGCTTGGGGGGTCTTGAGCCAGAGGATCCAGAATCCCCCTGTGGTCAGTGGGGCTCCCCAGGGATCAGCTCTGGGCCCAGCTTGTTCATCAGTGACCTGGAGGGAGGGGTGGGATGGACCCTCAGTGTTTGCTGAGACAGAACTGGTGGCTGATCCACCTGAGGGCTGAGCTGCCTTTCCGTGGGACATTAATAATTAGTCTGGATAATTGGGCAGAGGGAAACCTAATGAGGGTCAGCAGGGGCAAGCGTAGGGTCCTGTTCTTGGGGAGGAACAACCCGATGTGGCAGTCCAGGTTTGGGGTGACCTGCTGGAGAGCAGCTCTGTGGGGAGGAACCGGGGGTCCTGGGGGAGGATAAGCTGTCCATGGCCAGCCGTGTGTCCCGGGGCCAGGAGGGATCCTGGGGGGCATCAGGAGGAGTGTGGCCAGGTCAGGAAGGGGATCCTGCCCCTCTGCTCGGCCCTGGGGAGGCACATCTGGAGTGTTGTGTCCAGCTCTGGGCTCCACAGCTCGAGAAGGACAAGGAGCTGCTGGAGAGGGTCCAGCAGAGCCACAGAGATGGGGAAGGGTCTGGAGCATCTCCCTGATGAGGAGAGACTTGGGGAGCTGGGCCTGGTCAG